CTTATTTTCTGTTTTCTTTCTTCACACTCCTTTTCACACACAAAAAAATGCCTGGCTCCAGATGGAATTGAGCCCATGAGGGTTACTCTGTGATATGGTCGTTTGTGTTAATACTGTGTTGAATGCATGCCAGTTGCATAATGGGAAAGTGAGCAGAAGAAACACCAGGCGTGGGCTGTTTAACATGACTTTATGGGAAATTCTGCCCATAATAAGACCAAACACACACACACACACACACCTCTGTAAATGCAACAGTTGGACACTGATGCAGGTACGGCTTGAAAACTGAAACAAGGATCAAAACATTGTCATTAAAAAGTGTAAAACTACACAATTAATACTGTCAGGAACAGGGCCAAATGTGCTGATGAGTAAAATTCTGACTTCAGGGAGCGATCTTTCTGTAGGGGCGGTGAGTTTTGGGTTATGTGCCGCTTCCTCCCATGTACGAATCACCGCAAAGTCTCTATAATTAAATGCTTTTATTTTTTTTCCTCCTCTGAATAAATTATACTTTAACAGTCCATTTCAGTGCTTAATTCAGTCAGGGCTTAGTTAGTCAGTCTAATCAAACACTGGCTTCAATTTCATTGTTGTTTTATTTTAATTGCTCATAATCTAACAGCACTCCCTCTACTGGTAGATGTTGATCTACAATAGGCAGCCTAATATGGAACTATATCTGAACTCAGTCAGCTGAGTGTGAGGGACTTGTAATGTTTCTTAAGTAAATAAAGAAACTTGGGTTCTTCACTGAACACGTTTATTAACGATGGTGTAAGCATGCATACAGGTACGCTGTCATCACTCGTATTCGTCCGTGATGACTTCTAACACACCTACACACATCCGGGGAATACATTATATCTGCAGCCCTCTGGTGGCAGGGGGTAGAACTGCAACTCATTAACTTAACATTACTTATCATTACACCCTGAAGCAAACACCCTCTTCTTCTTGTTCAGCAGAACTTGAAGCTGGGGGGTCACCCATGGCTTGGTGTTGGCAAAGCACCGCACCCTGCGGGTTGGTACGGTGCTCTCCACACAGAAGTTCATGTAGTCCGTGATGCAGTCAGTGAGGCCATCGATGTCATCTTCATGAGTGCTGCAGAAAGTCTCCCAGTCTGTCGTCTGGAAACAGTCTCTCAGCCTCTCATTGGCCTCCTCATTCCACATCCTCACATTCTTCTTCTGTGCAGGCTGCCTTCTCACCATGGGTGTGTATTCGGGGCGCAGATACACCAGGTTGTGAGCGGAGCGGCCGAGTGGGGGGAGGGGGGCGGAGGTGTATGCGTATTTTGCATTTGCATACAAAAGGTCCAGCGTCTTGTTCTCCCGGGTGTGGCACTTCACGTACTGTGTGAACGTGGGGAGGGTGGAGGACAGCGAGGCATGGTTGAAGTCCCCACTGATGAGCAGGAGGGACTGCGGGTGCAGTGTCTGCAGTCTGGACACCGAGTTGTGGAGCAGCTCGCACGCAGCCGCTGCGTCGGCTGACGGAGGGATGTAGACTGTAAACACAATCACGTGCGAGAACTCCCTCGGGATGTAGTAGGGGCGGATGCCCACCGCAACAAGCTCAATGTCCTTTGTACAGAGTTGTTCTTTGAGGGAGACGTGCGCGGGGTCGCACCATCTCTCATTCACGTACACCATGCCCCCACCGCCTCTCTTCTTCCCGGCCACATTTCTGTCCGCTCGAACCATTTCAAAACCGTCCATAGAAACGATCGAGTCTGGCGTCATCTCCGTCAACCAGGTCTCCGTGAAGCACAGCAGGCTGCACTCCCGAAACTCCCTCTCATGCCGAATCAGCGCCGCGAGCTCGTCCGTCTTGTTTTGAATGGAACGGACGTTTCCCATAATAACAGACGGAATGAATGGTCTGTACCTCCGTTTCCTCTCCTGAACATTCCGTCCGGCTCTGCACCCCCGTCTCTTCCTTCTTATTTCCACCGGAATCTCCGCTTTACCGGCGAAAGGAAGAGTGGTGTTGCGCAACGCCATCAGCTGGTCCCTGGTGTAAACAATGGACCCACTGAGCGTTTCAGCCGACGATGTTCCAAAAAGTGCAGAAAAAAGAATGGGTATTATAAGCTAACTATGTTCTGAGTGTGTATTTTCTTATTAGAGTAGAGTAGAGAGATAGATAGATAGATTGATTGATTGATGATGGATAGATGTATAAATGGATAGATGGAGAGTTGAATGGTTACATAGATAGATAGATAGATAGATAGATAGATAGATAGATAGATAGATAGATAGATAGATAGATAGATAGATAGATAGATAGATAGATAGATAGATGTATGAATGGATAGATAGCTGGATAGATATATGTATAAATGGATAGATGTATAAATGTATAGATGGAGAGTTGAATGGTTAGATAGATAGATAGATAGATAGATAGATAGATAGATAGATAGATAGATAGATAGATAGATAGATAGATAGATAGATAGATAGATAGTTACATGTTCTTGCTTTCAATTTCAAGTCCGTCACAAAAGCATCAAAACTTTCACCTTGCAATTGCATGCGGGATCGAAACACATACCGCTCGAAGGTCTCGTTCTTCTTTGGTGAACAGTGTTCATCAAATTTTTCCACAACCTTGTCGAACTGTTCCTGGTGATCCCTTTCAGCAAATATGAACGTATTATATACCTCCACAGCCTGAGGTCCCGCGACGGTGAGAAGCAGTGCTATTTTCCGCGCGTCTGGCTTTGTGTCCAGGCCCAGTGCCTGCAGATACAGCTTAAATCGTTGCTTAAACGTTCGCCACTCGCAGTCCACATTTCCCGTCCAATTCAGAGGTTCAGGCGGCTTCACACTTTCCATGACATCTGTTGGACCACTCCTGGTACCATGTAATGTTTCTTAAGTAAATAAAGAAACTTGGGTTCTTCACTGAACACGTTTATTAACGATGGTGTAAGCATGCATACAGGTACGCTGTCCTCACTCGTATTCGTCCGTGATGACTTCTAACACACCTACACACATCCGGGGAATACATTATATCTGCAGCCCTCTGGTGGCAGGGGGTAGAACTGCAACTCATTAACTTAACATTACTTATCATTACAGGACTCACAATGGGTTTTTCTTTCTTCTCCAATATTGTACTGACTGTTTTATTTATCAGCACCTCTTAGGCCATAAGGTGAACCCGATTATCGTTTCATCTCGCTCCAACGTCTGGGAACTACACGATCTCAACTTCATAAATAAGAACGAGTTACGTTAAACTTACAGCAAAAAGTTCATCGCAAAATACCCTGCCAAGTTTTTTATGATTGATCAGTGTTGTATTTAGTTAGGAGCGAATAAATGAACGAATGAATAAATAAATGGTTCTTGTCATTGATTACTTTCTTTTATTGATCAAAATGATTTAACATACAAAGTTCACCTTATCGTCTATTTTTCTCATTGTTCTTCGTGCAGGCGGCTATGTATAAAGCACAGTTTAGAATCCATTTGGCCCACTTTAGAAGACTTTTGGGATAATTCCGCTCTATCGGTAACGTTAAGTAGAACCACGGAGGCTGGCGTGTTGCTGGAAGTGTTGACATCAATCAGCTACTCGATTGGTGTAGCACGATCACGTGTCGAACCGTGCCACCGCTCGCGCACCAAAATCTTATTGCGCCCCGAAGACGCTAGTCAGGATATTTTGCAACGAACTTTTTGCTGTAAGTTTAACCTAACTCGTTCTTATTTATGAAGTTGAGATCGTGTAGTTCCCAGACGTCGGAGCAGAATTCAATTTCTAAAGGACTTTTCGTGGTTCACCTTACGGCCTATCTGGCCATTTTCTCTTAATTAGACATCACCCAAGCCCAGGGGCCCACATCGCGTATAGAAAGCTCATTATTTATACAAGGCTACAAAGCAGCCTCCAACTGCAACGGTTGTTATTACAGGAACGGCTGTACATGATGGGCCCATGAGCCATAATTGACACTTGATTTTCACCAGAGCTGACACAGCTGATTGCTGTGAAATGTACTCGGATCTGTCGAGCAACTCTAAGATATTTTACCTACAGGTTCACATCTGTTGTATCAGTGTTACACCTGCATCCCCCTGGGGACCCCACCCCCCTCCCAAACCCGTGCCCCTCCATTACTACCGAGCAGTTGTATGTCATGCATGTAATTGACGGCATCATGAAGGATTCCGCGTTTGGGAAACTGACAAATTAAATTGTCAGGATGTAAAGGTGTCG